GATTTCATTGTACCCTGCACAGATTCAAGACACCCTGTGCCAGATGCAGCAAAGGCTGAATTACTCCGATGGTACAACTTACCATTTTGTAGGGATGAGCAGTTAAACAGTGTTTGAGCAGAGTCTGGGGTGAGCTGGTGTGCTTGAGCTGCAGGGTGGTGTAGAGAGTTCATGGAGACGTTTGTGTTCACTCTTGCAGCCAGCTGCAGAACATCTGGTGTGGTTTGCATGTGGCTGCCACATTTTTAGAGTTAGCAGAGGCAACTTTGCAGATAAAGAAACCTGTCGGACTGTGAGGCAGCTGAATGGTTCACCTGAAAGCAGCTGCCAGTGAGAGTAAAAGGATTATACAACGTTTGAGCTTGAAGAATGTTGGTTCTTCAGTTAGGAACTTAGCAGCTCAGTGAAATTCCTACTGATTTGTAAAGTAGAGACTCCGTCTAGTTGTGAGGGGACTTGAGGAATGGCAGAAGCAAACATCTTCCTATCCTAACAGCTCATAAAATAACACAATAATAATAATAATAATAATAATAATAATAATAATAATAATAATAACACCAGTGTTACTGTATTCTTGCAATGTGCCAAGTGAAACCATCACAAAGGCAAGAAGAGGTGTATAGGTGGGCATAGGGCTGAGAAACGGAATAGTTTCACATCACAATTTGAAACGCCATTAGCAGACTGCAAAGGCTGCAATTATAGATATACATTATGCAGCATGGCTGACCCAGGGTTTAAAGTGTTGTTGTCCGTGGTTTTACAAATTCATGCCATCGTCCTTGAGTGAAAGTCACGCTCTTGATGATGTCTCAGGAAGTCTGACGTGAAAACTTGCATTGTTAAACAAATCACAATATCTATAAAAAAAAAAGAAATCACAGATATTTTCCACAAATGGTTCATTCCTAGGTGGGATGCTAATATCTTTATTAATGTAGGAAGACTCCTGTATAACTTGTTTTTGCTCGTCAACAGAAACCACTGAACTTGAGAGGCCATGGAGGACAATAACCTGGGAATTACTGTAAGATGGACGGTCACTGTATATCACATATTGTACTTTAAGCAGTTTGACACCAACTATTAATCTGAAGAAATTTTGTAAGAATGTGCTAAACATTTGAATATATTCTTATAATGGATGTGTTCCTTGTGCCATGACATGCAAGCTGCTCTACAGGCTCACTGTTCAACACTATTTTAGATTAGGATGGTGTCCATGCGAATTATTATGCAGTCAAATGGCTTAACAGCAAACAGGACTGATGTCACAGAGGTCAGCTGCATGTGCACAAAGAAGTTCAGTAACAGTCAAAGCAACTCACAACCTCTTCATGAGACTGAAAACCTGTTCATCTCCTTGTCTGAGCAGGAAGAGGCAGGAGCTGATGGAAGGCATTAAAACCTACAAACCCACAGTCAGCTCTAAGTAAGCGTTTTGATAGTTTTCTATGACTCCTGGTTTGACTTAGCGAAGAGTGAGCCCCATCACATGCTTCACTTTTACCATAACAGAGGTCATTTTTAAGCTGCCGATTCTTATTTTTACGGCTAAGGTCAAACAAAAGCTTTCAAAATGGTTCTAGTTCATGAAAGTTTATGGTGTGTAACCATTTTGCAGCATTTTCTGTCTGTTGCTGTGCCATTATTACAGAATTGGCGCGTTATAATGAAAACAAAATGTACGCGGATACCCTGTGGTGGGCGAAGTATTTGTTTTTGTTTGAGCAATTAAATATAATTGGTTCTATTTCATTAAAGTGTATGGTGTGTAACCATTTTCTGTCTGTTGCTGTGCCATAATTACAGAATCAACGCGTTATAATGAAAAAAAACTGAAGCGGGTAACCTGCGGTGGGAGACAAGTTTGCAGTCCTCCTGTAAAATAATTTAGTGAGTGCCCAAAGATTTTATTGCAGATAATGTTAGTATGAAGTCCCACCTTTTAGACGGTATGCTCAGTTTTTTGAAGCATGCTCGGGCATTGGAGATATTTTGGCCTAAACTTCGGGTATTTTAACAATTTTCACTGTTGGGTGAGAGAGGCGGTCTTGGCTGACATGATTTGTGTGATGGAACTCGTTGTAGGAGAACGAAACGTTGACAATAGATTGTCCTTGGGTAGGATAACATTCACTGAAAATATGAAAAGATTTGGTTGAATTCTTAAAGCAGTAGAGCTTTATACTTCTGAACATTTTTTAGGCGATTTTTGGTCATTTTTGCAAAAAAAAAAAGCAAGGACAGATGGTGAAATCCCCCCAATTTGACCAAATTTCCTTAAACTTAGACTGAAGTAGTTTTGGGTGGACCCCTTTAAACTGGCAAAGTTTCATTGAAATCGGTGAGATGGCTTGTGCCACCCCCGCCTGGTCCTATCGTGGATGCACTCTTAAATCATCAGTCCAGTTTCATTAAGTTACCTCAACCTAAGTTTAGTTTCAAATCAGCTGATATAAAATTTGAATTTAAATTACACACAACATTAAGTTGATGTAATTAACAACAATGTTATATCAACCATAACCAACTGAAATAATATGTGCAACTTGAAAGGTCTATCTAAATCAGTGAATTATATATGCATTTAACTGAATGGTAGGAAAATGTCCATTGAATTACATTTTAGAATGGAGGTACACCACTGAGAGTGTCCCGACAGGCCCTGAGGCTCAAGAGGGAGATGAAATCTGCTTGCTATACATCACCATGATGGAGGTACCATCCGTACCTGACCTCTACAGCCTGGATCAGTGGTGAAGGCTGATACAACTTCATGTTAACATGCTGTTTAACCAGCAGAATTGTTTTATAATTCTTCTGCTTTTGATGTGTTCTTTGACAATATTTTGAAGATAGTAATAAAATACATCTAAACATTTGAAGTGAGTCACATTCGGTTACATTCATATTCACAAACAATGAAAGCTGTTATAATTATGATCAGCTGGTAATTGATGCGGAGATCCCAGTGGGCAGTCAGTAATATGAATTCCCTTTGGTCTCACATATTCAATCTGAGACATCCAGAAAGGAGATAAGAAGAGAGAGGAGAGATTTTTGTCTTCAACTCTAGAGGCATCAAATATATATGGTGTAAATTAGTCATACAGTACAGGTACAATATACTATTACTAATACACTGTAGATAAATAAATAATGTCTCACAATTCTTTGTTTCTGTCACTGATGAGCACACTTGTTGTGCAATTAGTCCACCCTTAGGCTATTTCATTACAAGCCCAAACAAAAGGAAGGTCAACTGAAACAAGCATGTAAACACCTTGGTGTCCATAAATAATGAATAAATAATGAATCTCGTTAACAGGTCCAGTGTGATGACCATGGAAGATGGTTCCATGCCCAGTTTGTGGCAGAGGGTAGCACACAATATGAAAAGGTCAAGAAAGGAAATTGGAAATGTCCCTTGTGCAACTAAATGGTTTCTTTGAAATGTGCTGACTGCTGTGCACCTATGTAGCAGGCATCTGTACTATTTGCCTCTGTAGTAATACAGTTCAGTAGGACTTTAAGTCACTGGGTCACATAGCATTAAAGTTATTGAAAAAAAAAATTGAAAACTAACTTTTCTATGAGACAGTGCAGTGTGTAAAACAGTTACCAGATTTGTCTTTTTTAGATATGGAAGATAATCATCCTCCAAGTTTGGCAAGTAGTGTTCCATAATGCTTATAATATGCATATAATGAAAGATGACAGGAAGAACATTGTTTCCAATGAACCAGTTAGTTCTAGCTATAAATAAAGCCCTGATTATCATTTTTAGCAGTTCTTTCTTACTTTGACACAGAAGCAAAACTTCAAAAAGTGATGATTCTCAGACAAGTTCTGGAGTTAGAGTGTGTTTATCTATGATTTATAAGGATTAATGAATTTCAACATACTTTGTATGCCTTGTGTAATTGAACAATTAACTTGTGATGATATGGTTTTATTTATGGTGTTTTGGCACTCTGCCATTGTGTGCTGTTTTGTGTATGCGGTTGTGTGCCCTGATGTTCAGGTTGGGCGGGGCTGATCTGGAGGAGGACGCTCCAACAGCTGTGGCTCATCTCCGTAATCAACGCGCTGGATAAAGCCACCTTACCTGTGCTCCAGCGCCAGTTGATTGCCTACCCCATGTGTGGTACTTTCAGGCCGCTTAGTATTACTACTAAGTCTTTTAAGTCGTGATCACGAGTTTTCGAGTAACCTGCGTTTCTCCTGTTTTTCCCCCAGCGTCTCCTCTGCTCAGTCTCTGTCCAGCCGTTTTGAACTCTGCACACCAGTCTGCACACCATCTACACCAGGGGTGGGCAATCCTGGTCCTCGAGGGCCACAATCCTGCATGTTTTAGATGTTTCCCTCTTCCAACACACCTGATTCAAATGATCAGCTCATCATCAAGCTCTGCAGAAGCCTGATAACGATCCTGATCATTTGAATCAGGTGCACTGGAAGAGGGAAACATCTAAAATATGCAGGATTGTGGCCCCCGAGGACCAGGATTGCCCACCCCTGATCTCTCCTCCTCTCTCACGAGCACCGGCACGAGACACAGTCTACCCACCGTTGACACGGATCTCATCTCCTTCCCTACGAGCACCAACACAAGATACCACCGTCACCTGTGGCTCTCCCTTCACACCCTGGACCCCGGATCCCTCACCTGCCTCCTGGTGCCTCTCTCACTCCCCGGATTCCCGAATAAAACTGTTTTCCTTTATTCCCCTTCCTCTCGTTCTGGGTTCCACACACACACACACATTTTTCCTGCGGCTACCCAGCCGTGACATAATTTGTAATTTGAGGCATAAAGAGTAAGACACTTCAAATGTCCCCAAAGAACTCCACTACAGATATGTTTCAGTATTTATGTTCCAATCTGCCAAAATATTATCATGGGGGAAATGATACAACTTCCAGCTGTGCAAATACTTTATTCAAGCATTCAGTGTCATCTGATTTTGTACAATGACTAATTTCCTGCCCTCCTGTATTTTAGCTACAATTTCTCACCTTTCTTAACCAATTATAACATGCAAGAAAAATTCAGTTTAAGTGATTGAACAAAGATCAGTGCAGCTAATCAGATCGTGTGCCTGACAAAACGCATGTTGTGTCTGCGGGGGCCAGGGCAGGAGCTGGCTGAAGGGGAAGATCTGGGAGAGGCAGGCTGATCCACCACAGTCCCGAGGGAGCCCTGCGGCCCGGACACAGTGACATCTGAGCTGGGTGTTCCTGAGTGTGTGTGTTCATGGGGGTGCAGGTGTGTGTGGTTGTAGTGCTGATGCTCAGTGTGCCCACTGTCTGCTTTTGCATGGGCTTGTTCCTCCACTATAGCAGCCTGCAGAGGAAGAGAAGAGAGTAAAAAAACTGTTTCTTCTGACCTCAGGAAACTGATTTGATGAGTGAATTTGTTTTTCATCACTAAAAGTGTCCCTTTCACTTCATACAAAGTCTGAATCAGTGTTAAAATAAATATGTTTTTGGAAATTTGCAGAAATGCCTCCCACAATCCATTTTAAATCCAAATGTTAGATATCAGGACATCAGTGATGTAACAAATAAATTGCAAATGAATCTTTAGACCCTTTAAATGCATTGCATCAGATTGTGTTGTCCATCAGATGGAGCAGTTACCTGAGGTTCATAGATCTCACACTTCACCTCTACAGGCTTCCGATTCTGAAATGAGTTGTCCTTTTTGCCGACAGGGTTTCTGAATTCAAACTGGTCCTCATGAGGCCTGTGCGATCCATGACAGAAGCCTCTATGCTGAGAGAAAAGAAATCAGAAAGAACTGAGTGGGGATTTAACTTGATGGTAACTTGTTTGGAGCCTGCAGAACTGTAGCAGTAAAGAGGTGTTTGGATGAGGAACACAAACAGCAAACACCACAGCTAAAAAATAATGTAAAAATTATGAATTAGAAGCTTTAACTTTTATATTATGAATATAAATGCTTATGATATACATTCAGTATTTCCATTTACAGGGAATTACCCTCTGTCAGTACAGTTTAACAACCATTTAACTGCCAAACCACATGTCAGGACACCTGCACTTTTAATAGGCAGCGATTAGCCATATTGAATTTCCCTTCTGGGATAAATAAAGTATTTTTCATTTCATTTCATTAGGTGATTGTCACTTGTTCATCTTTAGGCTGTTGAAAGCACTTTTATGAATAAGTAATTATGAGCAAGTACAGTAAAATTTAGTAAACACACATTTTACACGCATGTACATTGTATTCTACTCACAGCAAACGGACAGTCCATAGGGAGACAGCTGCTCAGTTCAGTGGCCTCTGTTTTCTTTGAACACACCGTCTCCACAATGGTGAACTCCACAAAGTAGGACGGACCAAAATCCCACTGACAAAGCACACAATGACAATGCATACACTTACACATGCACACACCTTAGTATTCTTCACACTGGTGAAATACTGACCAAAACTAAGACTTTTGGAAAGCCTACCTTTACATGTAATGCAGTCTAGATCTCTAAACTTACATATTATCAACCAACAAATTATGATCAAAAACATTCATTTGGGTAAAAAGACATCAAAAGTCCTCTCTGATGCTTTTTAAAGCAGTCCAGGTGATATGTGAAAATAATGCTTTTGTAAAAACATGAAACTTGGTACGATTGTACAGCTTGGTGACCTGAACTTTAAGAAAAGCAGCATTGCAAAACACCTCAATGCAACTATTTTAGTTTCCAATATAACCAACTTATTTATTTCGCACCATAATTCCCGAACTAAACATAACTCAGACAAAAGTGATGTCTGTCTGTATGTTACAATGAAAACATATACAACATCATAAACTGTTCAGGCGAATAATTAGATGCTCAGAGACACTCTGAAAAGTAAATCACAGCACAAAAACCTTGGCTAGACTGCATAATAGCATGTCTGTTGTGTATTGTGAAGAGTTTTGAGAGCTTTAATTCGTAATTCCTTCTGTTCTTTAACACTGACAATAACATGACTGTAAAGAGTAATCAGCGTGACCTTCTTAGCTTAAGAAAAACACAAACTAGTGCAGTGCTCATTCAAAATGTGCCAATTCTGTGGCCTCCTGTGTTGCTGCCTGCAGCTTTCGAAGTATCATCAACCAACAGCATCCAAACTGCTTTACACTATGCAGATTAAAAAAAAAAACATGTCATCAGATGTAACCTTTTTCCATGTTATCATGTGTGGTTCAGGCAATCAGCTCAAAACACATACAATTGTTATGGCAGAAAGTAAAATTGCCTCCACAAAGCACTGCAATGTTTCTGAAAATAGTCAGGGCCCAAAACTGTACAATGATACCAAGTTCCATGTTCATACAAAAAACAACAAAAAAAAGCTTCAAATTTGGAACATTTGGACTAAAGTAAAAAAAAAAAAAACAACAACAAGCTATTGCACATTTAAGTGTCAAGTTTTCTGACGAGAACAAATTAATAGAGGTGGAATCTCAGTAGGGCTTAACATTTTAAGGATTACAAGGAACTTCAGAGTGGCCAAAGAACAATTACTGTCAACAAGAATCACGTTGTCGACAGAAAAGTTAGTCTTCACTTGGACACGTCAACTCTAATCTGAACAAATATCCTCTGTCTCTGGAGGCAAACTCTTTGTCTATTCATGTCACTTTGGCTCAGATGGTATTCGGTTATTTGTTTTTTTTCCCCTCTTAACCTGTGAAGAGGCTTTTGTAATGTTCTCCAGAGTGAAGTAGTTGCCCAGGAGACTCTCTTCATTAAACCTCTGCAGGGAGAGGCTGACTGTCTCTTTGATGATGGGCTCGTTGAAGTTGTCAGCTGTTGGACAGTCTGGACACTGTGCCACCACTGCAGTAGCAGGAACTAAACAGAAGCAAGGAGAGGGTTGAAGGTCAAAGGTCAAGTAGAAGAGGCAAAGACTCACAGAACAGTGTCAGGTACTCTGTTCTGCAGAAAAGACCTGTCAACATCCTCCTCTTCAACTACTTCAAGTTATGTTATCCAAGTGTGTAATCTTTCACTCGCTAGGATAAAAAATATCTTATTTTTTCAGAATCAAACAGTAACATTCACTTTAATTTTTCCAGCTGGAAGGTATTTTGTGATAGAACATGTAGAGAAAGATTTAAATGTCCTAAATGTTCCACCACACCAAGATTTACACAAAGTGTGATGCATTCAGTGAAGAAGCCACCCAGGACTGGTACATTAAAATGAGCAGCATTGTTGTGCTGCCTCAGATTTGCTTGAGTTACAGTTGAGAATTATTTGAACAGGTTTGTTTATATCTGTGTCACTGACTCCTTGTTATAAGGCTTCTTTAGATAACAGTTTTGATTAGGCTGATGTTACTGATTGAATATGGGGACGTCTGCTTAGTAGAAATAATAAAAAAAGAGCCTTGGGTTTAAGCGGTTAAACTACCTTCATGAAGTACACAGGAGTAGTTTTGTAGTTTGACTTGAGGGTCAGCGTCAGCAGACACTTCACACTCTCCGTACACCTGAAAGACACAAACACACTTATATGTTGGAGGTATAAACACATGTGCATATTAGCAGATCAGCAAACAAACACATCTCATGGGCTCCCTTGGCAGTGATGGAAGGTAATCTATTACGCCATGTACAGTACCTTCTCCATTTCAGGCTTCTTTATACTTTTACTCCTCTACATTTACATCACATTTACAGTTCCTGGTTTCTTGTCTGGTAGGACTATACCTGTGACGAGATACGATGTGATACAGAACTTTATTTACCCTCATCAACATATCTAACATACAGGGACGATCGAATATGTTCTCAGGAAAACACAAACGTAAATTACTGTAAGAAACAACCAACAACCGTAATGTTACCTTTTCCATCTCAAAACATTATTGTTATGTAAATAATGTTGTCTGAAAAACAGACTTATTATGATTCTCGAAAAGTTCTAGTTAATTTTATACTGTTTAAAACTATAATGAATACTTCCAACTTTTAGCGCAAATACAACCCACTTCAGAAAGTATTTGTGTTACAATTATATGATAAAACCAGCCAGTACAATTGGTAAACCTGCTGCATATCAGTCATATGAATGACACACCATTTCAGTCATCTCTTGTTCAGTGGAGCTTAAATATTTTATTGGATTGCCACAAAACATTTTATTGTGGAACTATTTATTGTATTTCTTACTTAGAACATCATTTTACAGACAGAGCACATGAGGATATCTGTCTGCGTCCTTCAGCGTGACTGACAGAGTGCCACTAAACTAGCACCCACAGGAAACATACAGAAACCACTTAATCCTCACTAGAGTCACAGGGGGACTGGAGCCTATCCCAGCTGACTTAGGGCGAACCCACACTGCACAGGGAGAACATGCAAACTTCATGCAGACAGATCCCGGAACAGGGGATCTTTTAGCTGTGGGGTGCTAACCACCGTGCAGCAACAGAAAACATGAATTCAGTAAATAGTTCCAGCCTTTAAAATTGCATTGGCAAAATCAGGTACTTTTGACTTTTGACCCCAAGGATCCCAATACATTGATATTTTAAAAAAGCACTGATTAAAACAGAAACAATGATAAAAAGCATTTTGGAACAAAAATGACTGAAACGGTCAGAAAGAATTGAAACAATAAAATAAGGCTGTAAGACATAACAAAAAGTATACCTCTAAGGTCTCACAGTCAGTAGGATTAAGGTTAAGCTACTGACTGGTGTAAAAAGTATCTAAAATTCGACAAACTAACACATTAAATAATAGTAGCTAAGTGTAAATAATTACTGTGTTCATAATAACCCTAAGAGGGGTGTGTCTGCATCATGACTTGTTTTTTATATCCATTTTCTCTGAACTTAAGTGACATTGTGATTGGTGGATCAAAGGATAAATAAAATATACAATAATTTAAATAAAAATGTGGCAACAGTAATAGTTACAGTTTAGCTTTTGGCTATGCTTTCTTCTGTAAAAATAAATAAATAAATTAATTAATTAAAAAAAAACAAAAAACAAAACATTCATTATGTTGTTGAGTGAAGATCTAAAGCTGCACTGTACTTACTGGAAGACTTCCAATATTTCTGACTTCGCATTGTTTCCATGGTTTCCTGCTGATGATGTGGCATTCAGTCTCCATGACATCAATAGTCATTTTGTAGAGCGACCCACCTTTCTCCTGGAGAAACACACACACACACACACACACACACACACACACACACTAATGGTGACAGATGCAAGGTGATGCCTGCCATTGGGAGCAACTATTCATGTATAGTGTCTTGCCCAAGGACACTTCAGCTGTGGAGGGGCGGGGGATCGAACCACCAACCTTGCAATTAGAGGACAACCAATCTACCACCTGAGCCACAGCCGGCCTTGATGAAGAACCCTGTTTACATCTTTTGACATATGTTGTATAGTGGATCGTGTGTGTGTGTCTATGTGTATCTATGTATGTGTGTGTGTCTGTGTGTGTCTGTGTGTGTGTGCACGCATGCGTGTGTGTGTGTGTTCATCCGAACCTGTTGTGGAGTGTGAGAGACATCATACAGTCTGTTGAGGCTCAAGACGTATCCATTTTTCCTGTCCTGGTTGATCTGCTCCAGGGCCTCCTCTGCCACTCTCACCGCTTCAGGGCTACTGCAGCCTGGTGGGTCTGGCCTGGCTCGTCCCTCTTGCTGCAGCAAAGCCAGACACAGGACCAGCAGATAGACACTCATCCTTTAACACACTCACACACACACAGATTAGCCACAATGAAAACGCTAATTTTACCAAACTGGATTACTATAGCCTGGTTGATGCACTGTTCTGGAAATCGGCCTTTGCAGTACCTATAATCCTACTTTTTAAAGACAGGGTTTCGACAGGCACATGTGAGACTGATGCTGGACTTTCCCCTCTTTCTCCAAAGGGATGAGCAAACAGCTGCTATCTGCTGCTCTGTAGGCCAATGGCTGGTTCAGGTTGACGGATGGGTCATAGTGCATTAGGGAACAGGGGGAATGGTCTCAGTCAGAGAAAAACTCTTCAAATACAGTGCACCTAATTTCTTGTCTCTTGAATGTGACACTAACAATATTGAGAGATCCTCAAGAAAGACCTGCAAACCATGAAGAAAACACCAACAACTTGTAGATAACATTAAAAATGGCTCCTGCAATGCTTATCACTGTCCAAGTATATGTCAAGTATCATACAAAAATGTACATTTTCTTATAAACATAGCTGAAGACTTTCGGTAACAGTGAAATCAGCTGTTTATTTTGTCATATTTAACTCCTTATGATAATTGCAAATAACAAATTCAAATAACTGCACTAGCATCAGTCATGGCTGCCAGTGGACACACTATGACTGTGTCTTTGGCCATTTGTTTGGTGTTCAAAAATTACAGCAATGTAAAAATACTACATTCAAGTGTATTTGAATGTATTTGAATGAATCAATTGAAAGTCTTGCATTAAAAAGTCTACCTAAGTAAAGGTACATCAATATTAGCAGTATAAAATGGACTTAAAGTGTCAAAGAAAAAGCACTGGTTTGGTCCCTCTGACTGATATGCATTAGTGATGGCATCATTAGATTATTATCACTGAACACAGATTATTAATACTGTTATAGCTTCTGCAAGTGATAGAAGCGCAAGCGGAATGAATGTAAACGAAAGAGGAGGAAGAGAGCTGGGATCCGTGCTAGGCTAAAGGCTAAGCCCTCCAGACCTACAGGACCGTGGCTCCTACTCTCCAATGTCCGCTCCCTCAACAACAAGCTGGATGAGCTGCGTTTGCTGGAAGAAGCCCGCAGTGAGTGGAAAGGCTGCTGTGTGTATTTACTTTTACAGAAACATGGCTCCATGACACCATCCGAAGACCAGAAGGAGAGCTCACATAACACCAATTTTAAAATCTCTGCATTGGCTTCCTGTATCTTTTAGAATAGATGTTAAGATTCTTTTATTAGTTTATAAATCTCTTAACTGTCTTGGTCCTTCTTATTTATCTGATGTGCTTTTATCATATGAGCCCAGTAGAGCCCTCAGGTCTTCAGGTAGTGGTCTTTTAGTCCCCAAAGTAAAACCCAAAACGTATGGTGAGGCATCGTTTCACCATTATGGCCCCCATCTGTGGAACAGTCTACCTGAAGACCTGAGGGCAGCACCTACTGTTCATATTTTTAAAGGCAAACTTAAGACCTACCTTTTTAATCTGGCTTTTAACTGATTTTGGTTTTGTTCTTTTAGCCTCTCTTTTAGTCTACTCCGTTAATCTTGTGGATTTTACTCCACTTAAATCTCAGAGTTACTATTTTATGTTTTAATACTTTTCATTTATTTTCTTTTATATTTTGGTTTTAGACAGTTTTTTTTCCAACTTTTAGCATTTTATTAGTTTTGTATATCTTATGATTTTATCATTTTAGTTTTTGCTCCTGTGTTTCCCCATTTTAATTCAAGATAGTGTTTCCTTGGTCCTCTGTGGCTTCCTGTAGAGACCTGACTTGGTGTCCCTGTGTGTGTGTGTGTGTGTGTGTGTGTGTGTGTG